CAAATTCATCTAGAGGGAATTTGCTAAAGATGCAGCTACCAAAATTCATCTCTGCATTGCTCATAATAATAAAAAAATTGAAAATAGTCTAAATGATCTCACATAGGAGATTTAATAAGTGTGACATGTAATACATCAAATAAACACTTTGTAGCCATTACAATTTACACTGTAGAAGAATCTTGAACACGTGAAAAGAAATTCGGGATACATTGAGTGCAAAGGCCAGGTCACAGAACAGTGTGTTAGACATCTAACCCCCCCCCACACGCATACACACACATGTATACACACACACACATACAGACACTGTAAACAATGATCTGAGTGATGAGGTTTGAGAAAATTTTTATTTTCTTGTTTTTAAATCTCTATTTTCCAAATACATGTATTTCCTTTTATTTATCAGGAAAAAGTATTTTTTTGTGGTTTTCATTTTGCTTTGTCTGGTTTTAAAGAATGAAACCCTGAAGAGGCTGAATCGCCCTTCTCCTTTGCAGTCTTCCTGGTCAGGGACAGACTGAGGTGGCACCGGTCACCCACCCGCCCAGGCCCTGGGCTCGCGCTGGTCTGAGCGGCAGCCCCCGAGTGTCTGGAGCGGCAGCCCCCGAGTGTCTGGAGCACTGAGAGTTTGTCAACCCGACTCGCCCTGCTGCCTCCAGCGGGAGCAGGGGCAGGGGGCACCGGGATGCTCTTCCGAGGAGAGCGGGGTCGGGCGCGGGGTGATCAGCAACGTCCACCCAGTGGGCTGGAGACTGGGGAGGTCCGGTCAGCAGACAAACAACAGATCAGGACTCGAAGCCCCGCACTGACCTCTTGGTGAAGGAGAACGCAGCCGAGCCGGGCGCCTGGCTTCCTGGCCCCGCGTTGGAGGCTCTCTCCCCATGCTAGGCTGTCAGAGGAGAGGAACCACACACAGACTGGCCACAGGCACCTAATCAGACTTACATATAAAGCTCTAAAGAGATTCCTTCTCCTCAGCCCCAGCACTGTGAGGACCTAAATGAGCAAGGAAAAATTAAGTGATTTCTACTCTACTGAAAATTAGCAAAAACAGATGAAGTAATTTTACCATCTGAGTTTGTGTTTAGTTTGAAATTCAAGTAATGCCCACGCCCCATGCCCTGAGGCCATCAGAGTGCCACAGAAGCCCAAGTGGTGGTCCCGGAGGACATCCGGCTCCAGGTGTGGCCCTGGCAGGGATGGTGGAGGCCCCCGGGGGTGGGGGCTTCCCCACATTCTTACCAGGCCTCCTGCAAGACCGAGAGCCACTGAGATTGGGGCGTTCTCTGTCGCACGGCTGAGCTCACAGTCTACCTGGGGAGATGTGCCCCTCCACCCAGGTGTCCACGACGGGTGGGAGAAAGGACCACCAGGTGCCCAGTCCTTCTGACCTTCCCACTCGGTGTCTCTGCTTCTCTGTCCTCAGCACAGGAGACACCGCGACGCTCCGTGACCTCACTCATCAGATGCCCTCCCTCACTCTCACCGAAGGCCAGTGGCCAGAGAACACATTTTCCAAGTCCAGCTCTCTCGTCGGTGGAGTTTCATGTTAGCACCTCCCTACTGCCCAAGCCCGGGGTCTCCTCTGTCTCTGCTGGTCTCCACTGCTGATCTCAAAGGGCGTGGTTACCCGGGAAGTGGTGGCCCTCTCAAGAGGATGGTCAGGACCCCGGTCCTTGTCCAATGTGAGAGGGGCACAAGCTTTCACACCAAAGACCTTGTGAGGTCTCTCTCTCCATGTCTCTCCCTTTCCACGGCAAATTCTGGTTTGACAGGGCTGCCCCACCCGTTCAGACCATGGAGGGTGCTCTGCCCACAGTTGCCTCTCCCTTTAGGCCTCTCCTTCTCAGCCCCCACGAGGGGCCTTACAATATGCAGCTGTTTAATGAAATGTGCCCACTCGAGCACAAAACTGAAGGGAGTGGGGCAAGTCCCTGTGCATTCAGAAGTGTGCATCACGGATCTCCTGGGCGCTGGGCGCTCACACAGCCCACTGGCATGCCAGCTCTGGGGGCAGGGGGCGGGGTTAAACAAGAGGGGTCATGACTCGGGGACAGTTGTAAATAATCCGCCGCTGCCAACACAGCCGGGTGAGATTCCAAAAGTCAGCACAGTGCAGGCCGCCAGGGAGGTCCTGGAACTGGAGGGGCTGCATCCATCACTGCGGGGCCCTCCTGGCCCTTCCCCGTGAGTCTGCAGGGCAGCGGGAAGAAAACTTCAGAGAGAAAGTTTCTCAAGTTTGGGCACGTTGCTAACTCAGATCTAAAATATGAAGCTCGGATTTATGCAGCGAGCCTCCTTCGACAAGGCTTTATTAGAGCCTAACGGGCTAGCCGAGATGTGTGCTCCTCTGGGATCAAGGACAAGGACAGCCAGGGCTCAAGGACACAGGTGCTCAGAGCAAGGATGCAGGACAGCTCAGGAATCCTCGATACCACAGACAGACAAAGGGGCTGCCAATCTGGGCCCCACGGCCCCTCACCTGCCCACCCCTCGGTGCCAGCTGCCCAAGGGGCTCAGCCCAGGCCTGCCAGAGCTGTGGGCTCGGGTCACGTGACTGCCTTCCCCAGGAGAACAGTGTGTGTGTGGGGGGGTCTCTGGTCCCACTGCTTCCCATCCCCCGAGTAATGGGGTGACTGTGCTTACTGTGTTAGTGCATAAGCCGTGGTTTGGGAATAAATCACAGGAACTAGAGAAACTAAGGCTTTGCTGGATTTGAGACTCAGTCATCAAGTAGAAGAAAAAGCATTTCTTAAAAAAAAGTCTTATTTTGGGGACTGGCCCCATGGCTGAGTGGTTAAGTTCGCGCGCTCCACTGCAAGTGGCCCAGTGTTTCGTCGGTTCGAATCCTGGGCGCGGACACGGCACTGCTCATCAAACCACGCTGAGGCAGCGTCCCACATGCCACAACTAGAAGGACCCACAGCGAAGAACATACAACTATGTACCCAGGGGCTTTGGGGAGAAAAAGGAAAAAATAAAATCTTTAAAAAAAAAAGCATGTATTTATATATATGTATATATATATTCCTTTCTGACAGCTCAACGTATCACGCCCATTAGTATGGAAAATTGGCAGCTTTTCATCACCTTGGCTAAGGTGTTCCTTCTGAAACCAAGGCTGCTCCCCATCGCTTCTCTTTCTGCAGGACCTCGCCACAACACTAATGGGCACACACAGGAATCACTGAGCTTTCTGTGGTTTGCTAAGAGACTGGCAGACACCTACAGGCACGGGGGACCCCAGCCCATGCATGGCTGGCCCACAGCCTTGGGGTTTTCATCTCAAAATTGGTTCAGGTTTTAGCATCCACAAAGTATACAATATGCAGCTAATTTGCAACATCTCCTCTTCACTATTTGGGGGTATTGCTTAAAAAAAAAAAACCACTCAAGTGACCTTTAATCTTAGGGCATTAATATTTAATCACAGCTTTGATTGCATATAAAGGCAGTTCAAGGGTATATTTCCACCTAAAGCTCTAATAATTTAATAACACTTATTGAACCTGCATTTGTATTAGATTTCACTCTGTTTTAATACCCATGTTGCTTTAAATAGGGTCCATTTTTAATGGGGACCAAATAGTCTATTTTTTGGTTCTCTGCTTTCTTCTACAAACCACAGGGCATGAAGGTGCTTCATCAGGGCTCTTTGATGAAGAACAACAAAGCCATAAAGATCATTTTCTATCAGACAATGAAAATCACCTGATTGAAATCTTCTCTCTCTCTGTTGACAGTGGTGTCACCTCAAGGATTATCATCGCCCATTATGGGCCAATATCAGAGAATATGCTGTAGAGAAATTCTCACTTGTTCAGAAAGCAGCTTTGAAGAAAACTCTTACTGTAAAATGTCAGGAGTGCATCCTAACTCTTCATATGTCAACCTGCTCTTCAGAAAGTTAGAAATTGGCATTCATATTTTAACTTACCATTTATGGGATCTTTCTGAGTCTCAGCCATGCTTAATTAGCTGGCATTGGGCATCCAACGTTCCATGGTATAACTTGCATTCCTTAGATATTGGTTTATTAACATTCCCAAAAGTAGAAGGAAGCTACTGGAATCTTTATCGGCTCTAGGGGAAGGCATGTCTGCCTCTGAGTTGCGTCATAGATCAACCAAGCCTGCAATACAGGAACTTTCTCTCACACTGCGTTTTGACGGAACACGACTCTCTACATTCTATTTAATTGCTTACTCCATTGTACTGGGGTTCTGCTGGTGCTGTTATATTTTGGGGGATACAATTTTGACAAACAGTTCCTTGAAATCTATGTTCTATAATGAGCCATACTATAAGATTCTAATATATTTCCACTGTAACCTCATAGATTTTTGTTTTCTAGTAATTTCTTAACAGATTGAATATGTTTTATAAATATCTTGCTGTTGCGGGGTATTTTCTATGTGTGTTATAATTTAGGGTACTTTTTTCTTTCTTGAAAATCTTGAAAATCAAGATAGGTAGCATAGGAATGATATTTTTTCTTTAAGGAACTAAAGAAATTTCTAGACACTTTTTCTCTGAGAGCTCCACCCTGGAACACTCAAAGCTTTAGCTGAGTTCCCCATGTCCTGCCTTTATTTGTATCTGCATGTGTAGGTCTGTATGCATGCCTCTACGCGTCCGTGTTTCTATCTGCCCATCTGCCTCCTGTCCTGAGGCCCCAGAGAACCCGAGGGTGCGCGAGCCACATCTGATGTTGTGGACTCCGCTTCCACTCACTGTCCGGAGGATGCAAAGCCTGATTTTCCAGGTGATGGATGGCCTTACAGACAAATGAGCTGATATTAAGTTAAATTTAATCACCACCTCCTTCACGCAGGGCAGATCCTGAAGAACGAACAAAAAAAGTGAACCCTTCTCAGCAAATACATGTTTAGGGCGAAGGGGCAGCACGAGGGATGCCCAGCGAGAACAAGGTCATTTCCTGCCTCTTCTCCTAGGTAATTTAGGGGCAATAAGTTTTTACAACTTTCATATTTCAATTTCATGTATCACATTCAATTTTTTTATTTATTTAGTTCCTCACTCCAGAAGCAAATAATCTGAGGAATTTAAAAAACCTATAAAGGTGAATTAAATTATAGGCAGAAAATCATAATAAGAACACACTTGTATCTAACAGGTTTATCTTTATTGTGATGATTTACTATCATTGTTAACTGCATTTTGGTACAAACCTATGCAATAAGCCATCGAGTTCACTTTAAGATTTAAAACTAGCTTGTTTAAGATTAGCTCATAGATTTATATCAAATTTTAAAACAGGCCACAAAATCACATCCAAGAATGGCTTTTTCTCATATTCCATTAAAATCTGAATTTTAAGATTGATACATAGTTTAAAAGTTTTTATTTAGATAAGGCTATTACATATATGAATAAATGTCAACCTAAGCAAGGAAATAGGTATAAAAAATATAACCAGCTATTGACTCTCTGTTGTTTAGGGCTTGTCTTAGTAAATAAAGTATTGATTGCTCCGTGTGGGGCTTCGGCTCGGTTCCCCGCTCCACTCCTCAGTGACATGGATTCACCGGTCTTGGCATATTCTTAGCAAACAGTAATCCACATAACAAAACATGAACGGTTCATTTCAGCCAATGTGGCCTTTTCTTTACGAGAACAGGTCCACAGAGGTCTTGCGTTGAGACCCAGAGAAACCATCTCATCAAAGTACAGTTAGAAACCATCCGCCTCAAACATGCTTTCTCGCCTCATTCTTTAATCAGCATTATAGCCTCTCCTTCTTCTCCAGGAATTTTTTTGACCTAGAATTCGGTTGCTTTTCATTGACTCTGAGAAACTTTTCTCTCACACCCTAGATGTTGCTTTGTTATTCTTGGCTTTTTGGTTTTGTTTTGTTTTTGGTCAATAAACGTCATTAAAAAGGCAGGAATGTGGTTGGGAGGGATGCTAAAACAAGCAGCGGCTCCATCTCATTATTGTTCATTAGCAAAGCGGCGCAACCTAACCATGACCCAGAGGGAAGCTTCGGAGGCCTTGCAGCCTCAAGTCTATCACCCCAAGGCAATTCTAATCAGTAACTTAGGGAGCTACAAACATTATATGAGTTTAACAAGTTTGATCAGGAAAAAATTTCTGCAATGAAAAAATATGTAAGTCATGAGATATCAAAAATCTTGTAAGAGACAAGACTATGCTTACTGGGAAGTGAGGAAAAACTAAAAAGTCATATTTAGCAAAACTTTAATAGAGATTCGCCATCAGAGGCAAGACGCATGGCTCCCTCCAGTCAGACCAAAAGCGTCAACAGCCATGAAAAACAGGCATCAGTGGAAGGAAGGCACATCTCACCAGGTCCATTCAGGCCGGAAACAGGAGCCCAGAGGAGCCCAGGTCCTCTCAGATTCTACGAGGGTCCTTAGGACTATGTTTGGGAGTGTGTGAGGATCAGAGCTGAGAGTGGGGAGAGGCCTGGTGTACACTCCGGATGCCACGGCTGTGGTGGGAACCGCGTGCCCGCATCTCCACCATGTTCCCGCGAAGAAATAATACCCCTGTTTGGTGCATTTACCAAGAAAGCCTAAGTTAGGAAGATGTTTATGACTTACTATTTGAAATGCTAAATTAATCTTAAATAGATAAGTTTACATAAAGATATAGGGACTCTGATTTAAATAAGTTTACTGTGCTGCTGAACAACGGTGCTACTTATCTTAAACCCTATTCGCAGTCTGTATCAGCCGAGGTGCAGGCTCATTGGGCTATAATATGCAGGATTTACGCTACTTAACAAGCTACAGACATACCAAAAAATCACACACCTTCCCAAATAAATGACATTAACGTTTTCCCAAATAAATGACATTAACGTAAAAATCTGACTTTTAATAAGAGTGGGGGTGGGAGAGGGAGGAAAATGGAAACCTTTTCCTCTTAATTTTGGTAAATTTTCCTAAATTTAAGAATCATTTCCTCCTGAAGAGTCAGTTGAGTGGTCTAAATACTGTGCTCTCTAGGCAATTATGAAACATACGGCAAATCGTTTTGGCTCTTTGGACGAAAAATTTTTATCATCCTACCCAGTAAATTCTCACTGACAACAAGGAGAATTTATTTTTTAAAACAAGTGTAGAATATGACCTGACATTTTAAATAATTAAAGTCAGATTCCACTGAATGTAAATTTAACAGGCAACAAAGTGTGCGAGGGTCAGATTGTTTCTACGCTCCGGGACTGAGTGTGGTCAAAAGGCAACTTCCCACAAGGTCCCACCGCCCCTTCCATCTCCAGACCTACAAAAACGCCCACACAGAAGGACGGGTTAGTCAGTAGTGAACTCTACACACCAAACGTTAGCTGAGGGTCTTTAAAAAACAGAAACACAACAGGAGAGCTGGTAGCAAAATAAAACATGGTCATCGGTGCCATCTTTTAAGAATACATGATGTAATAATAAATCAACATTCTAAATGATTTGAATTCAGAGGATGTGTGTAAGAAAGGTCAATATAGTTACTGGTCGCTATAAAAGCATTCAGTATTTTTTACGTATTCAATTATATTTCAGAGATTAAAATTTTTTTTAACTTAAGGTTTCTAGAAATTTAAATTTCATTCCTGACATAAAGTGAGTTTGTTTCTTTCACTGATAGCCATATATAACTCAGAAGACATAATCTGAAATTTGTGGCAATATATTTTCTTAATTTCATGGCCAATCAAGAATTTAAGAAATCAAATCAAGTTCTCATTGAACAGAACACTATACTTGTATATGTGCACAAAATATACAGCACACATTATTAAATCCTTATTTCATTTATGAAATGTCTTCACTTTTTTCCTATTACTGAATTAAATGCTCTACTGCTAAGCCTGTTTGTATCAAAACCCACAAAGGGAATTTGTTTTACGCACTCTGCAGCTTCACCTAGAGACAGAATCCGGTTCGTCACGATGCCCAACAACAGATATTCATACAATATCATACATGAAACAACGTGGTATAAGTCAGAGATGCGAGATTTCTTCCCAGGAGGAGACACGAGGACATGGATGCGGATGACGACCTCGGGCTGGGACTCCGCTCCCCTCTAACCAGCGGACCTCACTCCTAGAGCTCAGCGTGGGGAGCAGTTTCACACAGACCTGGAAAAACAAGTCAGAGAGCATGATACTGCATTTAAGACCAGCCCACAGGACACCTACTTTCTGCAAAAAGCACATTCTTGGCACGCACATTTTAAAAACTTTTTTATCATGGAAATTTTCAAAGATGCACAAAAGTAGAAAGGTTATAACCTCCTCCCCGGAACCCAAACCCGGCCTCAATACGCTCTGCTATTCTTGTCCCATCCTCCAGGATTTTTTCCTGGAGTATTTTAAAGCAGAGCCCAGGGACTGGCTCCTTTCCCATGGCCGTGAGAGCGTTTAAGGAATACTTTACCTACGGGCCCAGCACACTTGCCATTTCACCCAAGGAGCAGAGAGGCGACGAGATGCTCTCACACGAGCTACTTTGCCAGCTGGAGGCAGTTAATGCCAACCCTCGTTAGAAAGGCTATAGATTGTTTTAGTCATATGATTTATTTAAAATAGGAAATATGCTAGCCTTTGGAAGTAATTGCTTTGTATGTCAGAATTTAACACCCCGCACACTGTTGGAAAGTCTATACAAAAAGGTAGAAAATGCTTTTACTTTAAATGTGGGCTAAACATTTCCAGATACTTGATACCTTATTCCATAGGCTGCATTCAGAATGATCATGTTCAGACAAATTCATCAGTCTGATGTTTTTAAATGTTAGGATGTGGTATCAAAGTAGACGTGATATGCGTCCAGGATCTATTCATGTATTTATATTTATACCTTCACACACTCTGTCTAACGAATACCTCACAAACTAACAACATCCATTCATTCACGATCTAGAGTGACATGTCCTCCTTGAGTGGAACACAGTTATACTGTTGATCATGGCTTATATCTTATTAAGATTTTCAAACACCATTTTGACTTCAAGGCATTACAATGACAATCCGGAGAAACCTGGGTTATGCGCCACAAAACACTCCACCAGGAAAATCTAATGGACTCCCTTTTATTTTTTGCCTAGGAAAAGAAGAGCTTACATGGGAATACCCCCACCCCTGCTACTCTGTCCCACCCCAAGGACAGGGTGTGTCTGATAACTTTTATTCCATCCAGAGGACAAAGCTGAAGTGCGCCCTCAGCTCACCTGCAATCCTCCAGCCTTTCTCAGAGATGTTTTTTCACTCATTGAAAAGACGGGGCACAATGTTTACAAGAATCTCACTGATGCGTTATTTTAAAATCCAAACATAGTCATCGTAAATTTAACAGAAGATACGTTCCCTCCATTATTCCTATTTATTCGCTTGTGTGCAGGGGGTGAACGTGAGAATCTTAATATTTTAAAGAGTCATACACGTGCTAACTAACCAGATGGGGGACGCTCTCACAACGTAGACACCTATCAAAACACCACAATATATACTCTAAATATCTCACAATTTTATATGTCAATTATACCTCAACAAAGCTGGAATTTAAAAAAGTCTGTGAAAGTGCCCTCATCTGCTGTCATGTAGTTATTAAAAATAAAGTGAATGATCTACATTAAATAGAAAAAAAGCAAAATTCATATGTATATATATGCACACATACACATACCTATAAAATATAGAAAGGGACTAACTTTCCAATCAAACCTCTAGTTCTAAAAATATCTATTTTTAAAAAAATTATTTCTCTCTCTAAAAGCAATATGTGGACATTTTAACAGCCCTCAGTACAGCATCTTGCAGATCATATACACTGGGAAGGGTTATTGGTTAGTGCAGTTCCATAACCTCCAATACACAACACACACACACACACACACACACACACAGTCATACCTCTAAAACATCACTTAAATCGCAGAGATCAATCATAGCAAAGTTACTGTCCAACGGAACGAGATAAAGTGTCACCTTTACAAAGCAGAGGATGAACGTCACACTTGCTCAGGAGACTGACTACGTTTGTGTTTTAGACCATGTCTGAGGGCATCTGGAGGTTTCGACCATGTGCAAGTCCCACCATTTACAGGGCTATCTGAAACCATCTTAATATGTTAAAACATCACTTCTCTGTTGCTGCAGGCATTAATGAGAATTTTTCTCATTGATGTGTTGCTTTAGCCTTTTCTGGCAATAATTTTTAAGTTTGATAAAACTCTCCACCTTGTTATGTGGTGTTAACTTCCTTTGACAATAGGGGGGTTTGGGGGCAGAAGTCTAGCCTCTTTTTTGGATTAACATATTCTCAGGTTTTAACTTATGAATGGTTCAGAACACCCATAAATATGTTTCACAGAGAAACACGACCTGAAGACACTCAGTCCGCTGCCCCGTGCAGCGGCACGTGGTGGCTGACTGCGTGGTGACCCTGCCTTCTCCACATCTCTGAGGTATTCATATCTATGTTTATAGCGTAAGCACTTAACCAGTGTTTAAAAAATCAAACGCTACTAAGAATTATCTAATCGTGTTTTATTATATACTAGTAACATTGTACATATCTTAGGTTTGTGCTTTATGCTTGTATTTTCTGGAAGTTAAGGTTAATTTTTACTTCCAATTATAAATATGCAGAAGAAATGAAAAGAGATAGCTGATATTATTGAAATTAAGTCAAATTGCTGCACCTGGGAAGAGAGCCTTCCCCCAGAATCTTCTTACTGGGGGCAATACTGCCGTCAAGAGCTGGTGAAGCCTCCCCAGTCCTTCCGCACTATTTGAGAACGTGGTCATGGAGCAAATTATTTGCATTTGCCATAGATGAGTATGACCAGTCCAAACCCTTTATGAGGAAAAAGTAGGAAGACAAATACTTCCAATATCATTCATCACATTTTGCCTTATATCTTAATGCATACATCTCCAAATTTGTTGAAAAACTTCAAAAGCACTTTCTTTGGGAAATTGCAGCTATGCACCTATTTATGTGAATTTCACAGATTACAACTTTACATATCCAAAACCAAGGGAAAAGCTCTCGGACTCCTGACCAGCCCTGACCACACTTCACTGAGCTCCTCTTCCCACTCCCACCAAACTGGAGTTGAAACAGAAAACAACCCGATTATCTGCTCAGACTAAGAAAACTTACTTCTTTCTTATAACTTTCCTCTTTAATAACTTGTTACGACATATTTATCTACAAATGTGCAGTAACTATTATTTTAAGGACTTTGGCACTAAATTTGATGCTGTGGATGCAGGTATATTAGACTTTTATTGTAAACAACTGCTAAATGCTAAATTTCTCAAGCTTCCACAATTGCATAATTGCAATTACTCCCCCAGCTTTAAATCATGGTCTACGTGTATATCATTCATTTTTTTTCAAAGATACCTGAAAAGAATGCACAATTTGTACTACATTACTGTAAATATATTAACAAGGCATCAAAATGATACAAGACTAGAGGTGTACGTTCAACCAAACAGATGGGAGGGTCAATGGTGGGAACATCCCCACTTTGTATACAATAAATCAAGTTCTGGCAGTTTTTTCTAGCTTCTGAGTTTGGGTGTATGTGTGTGTTTAAGAATATGAGTCAAGTATTATTTTCCACTCTCTGCCAGAAAAAAAATTTTGGGAAGTAAATATTCTGGGAAAGGAACTTGAAAAAAGAATATCCAGCACTCCTCCATAATAAACAAACAAAAAAGCTTTTAAAATTTCTTACTAAATAAAGATCCCACCTTCTGTTGGTGTAGTAACTAGGCAAGTCATAAAGACATTCTTCTCTCCTGGTCCAGGATGGAGAACCCAGTCTCTAAAAGTTCACAAAGAGTACTTTGTATCCATCCAATTCTGACAGAGCATGTGTGAATTTGTTTGAAACATGGCAGAAAGGAAGTGTAAGTAGTAACGCCACCGAACTCTGTGGTCCTGTTTGTTTGTGTTCTCTCACATGGGCTCCTTTCTGATAGAGCCGAGAACCGTTGGCTGCAGGGAGACAGCCAGGCTCGGTTTGAAAAAAAGCTGCTACAATGCTGAGGAGAGGGGCGGGGGCGGGCGCGGGCGCATGTTACATCAGACACAGTACCTGATTTTTCACTGCACAGCTTGTCAGCGAGGTAGTGTGCCTCCTGGGCGATAAGTGAGAATATTTCATCTTCATACTCCTCTATTATAGTTTCGCACTGTAGAAATAGAATAACGACATATGTGGATAGATGTGCACTCACAGGGCATCTTGTTAGGAAGGACTTACCAAAATTTTATTAGCTGAAAACATAAAATCATGTTACCAAGGTGGTTCGTTTTTATTAGCCCTTTTGGTTTAAGGACATCTTTGCACTGGATTAACCCTCTTCCCAGAATGTTAATTGCATCATTTTCCTGGGACTTGACTAACTGATTAGTCGAGTTGAAAGACGAGGGTGAGGAAGGAAGAGGGTTCTTCGTGTTTGTTTCTCTTCCTGAAATTGAAATGCAAGGAATAGGAAGAAATAGGTCTATTTACGGAGCTGAAACGTCCTAGTTTTTTGTTTCTGCTCTTTTGGAAGACTTTAAAGAACACAGCTCCTTGAAATGGTTAAACCAGTTTCTTTCAGACTTAACGTAATAATCCATTTTGTGGTTTTAAAACAGGGTCTGAAGAGTGAAAACAATTAAGCTTTCTCAGCAATCAAAACAAATGCATCTTCAATTTCACTGTGGATAACATGCTTGACAGTTACTCAGGCAAGTTTCTTTTCATACCATTTAGAGATCCATCCATAATTCACTTTGCTTCTCCCCCAAAATCTGACTTTTCAGAGAAGAAGGAGCTCAAATTACCCATGCATTTGAAAATCTTACATTCCAACTGGAGGCTGTGTCTGCGTTGGAGAACCACGAGGTTACAACTTTAGGAACTGTGAAGCTAGTGAAAGGCATTCACCAGAGACTTGTAAATCATTTCCTAAGTTCATCAAGCAAGACTCTAAAAATTTTAAATGGCACTTAAAAATATTTAAATTCCACTCTAAGGTGTTTATTTAAAACCTGTGAAATACAAGCATACTTACTCATTGCAATTCCTACTCCACAGTACTTTTAACCCTGAATTATTGCCTCTACTTTTTAATTAAAATGAAATCTTCCAAAGTCAGCTAAAGCCCTTATTTCAGGGTCTCGGCATGCCTGACATTTTGGCCAATGCATGAACTTAATACATTTTTTAAACAGCTTCTCCCATCACTTTGTCTGATTCTCCAGCGTTAAGTAAAGTGAAATATATTGCAGTACATTCTGCCAGGCACATCTTTGCAAGCCAGAGGCCAGCATTCATGTAAAATCAACATTATACTGGCAGGAAATCTGGCATTAAGCCAACTACCATACTTAAGCCTTTGTTTAACTTAGTTTGTGCTAAAATACTTGAATTAACTCAGGAAAATATTTCTTCCGTGAAGCCTTAGGGGGGGGGAAAAAAAAGATGATGCGCATCACCCCCCCGTCCATCATTTGGCTATAAATACTGTAAAACGACATTTATTTTAATTCGTATTTTAACCTGGGAACCACAGCCCTGATTTCCTCGTGTGGGAACCTCCTTGGCCAGAGGACCGGGAGAGACTCCTCCCCACGGCCCCACAGGAGCAGAGCAACGTGCCACCTGTGTCTTAAAGTCACTGGGATTTGTAACAGCACTTTCTAGAAAACATCACTTAACTGTCTCCACTGAGAGAAATACCACAACCCCGAGGCGTCTCAAAAGGCAAGTTACTAAAACCAGGGTTAACACTGAAAAAGCAGCGGGACAACCAAGCAAATCGGTAACATTTTAATGTTCAAAGTCGTGAAACTCAGCAACAACGGGAACAAACGGCGGAAAAAAAAAAAGAGTACCAAAGCTATGTTCCGGGGGCATAAGGTTCGTCTGCGGAGGAGGGAGCTTACCGCGAATTTCAAAGGTCTGTAAGCATCAGAATAAAAATAGAATTTTTTAAATTCTTTGTATATTTTGTCTCCTTTCCTTGGAGCGAATCTCTTGAACGTCTTCTTCTTGGTCGCAGGGTCTTCTTCAAGCTTGTAGTCATTCATTCGCTCACACACTTTATCCAAGAGGTCTGTTAGGAATGCCTCCGACTGCGCCAAGGGGATCTGTTAGGAACAACACGCGGGGGAAACTGGTCACAATGTTAGCATCATTTAAAAGACCGTCCAGTGAACGCATACACCACCCCGACTAACGCGAATGTGTACCCACTTCCTAACACAAAATCCATTGAATTCTATTATTTACGTAAGTTAAGAAAAAAGTGCGTATGTTTGAAAGTGGACAGAAAAACATTCAAACTGGAAACTATGCTTATACGGATAATAATATTAAAAAGTCATTGAACATGCAGAATAAGGCATTAAGCACAGAAAATGGCTATTATTTGTCTACTTGCCAGAGGGAGAGAGAGAGAGGAGAGAGAGGAGACGAGGACAGAAAGAGGGAGAGGGCGAGCGAGAGAGGGGGAGACAGCGATGGAGCCAGAGGGAGCCCGCTCCTGTCTGGTCACAGCTCTCTCCCTCAGTTCAGGAGAAGTTAGGCAAAGCCAGAAGTCCTGCCCTCCTGGTGGCTTCTCTTCGCTGTCGGTCCTCTGCGCCGCAGCCGCCGAATGCCCATGGGTGCCGTGGAAGCGGGCAGAGAGAAAGACAGGCTGAGGGAGCTGCCCCCGTGCAGGCGCGGCTGCGCTGCCTTTGGAACAGCTGGTGCCCGTCTCCGTGCGCCCCTCTCCCTCCGGAATCCAGCGAGGATTCAGAGGACCCTTTGGCCACCACCTCCGCCCCGCGCAGGGGTCAAAGAGCACCCCTCGCCCTTGGTAACGGAGACAAAAACTTGGGGGCCGTCTAGACGGGTCAAGGTGCAGGATGCCGCGTCCCCGCAGCTCCTTCCGGAAGGGGGCGGGGACCCTCCAAGGGCGCCGCGGACGCGCTGGCCCGGGCCTTTGCGGGCTTTTTCCCTCTCCACCCTCTGCTGATCAAAGTAGGAAGTTTGCATGACAACCATGGTGAAAGGGGCTGAATCACAAATGAACTCGATTTCTGCGATGTTGCTATATCCAGCCTCCATTGTCCCCTTTCAGACGCAGTGTGAACCCTTCCGGTGCCAACGACCGGGCTGCATTCACATGCGCGCTCCGGGCGCACAAAGGGTCTGGGCGCCTCGCCGCCATCTGGCCCCAAACCCAGCGGCCCGGCTGCAGGGTTCACAGGACAGCGCGGAGCTGCGCGGCGCGCTCGGTGTCTCCAAAGCTAGCTTCCAGCAAAAACCACTCCAGCATCACCACCATCATCCCCCAGTTCAGTAAGGAATCAACTTTGTGAAAAGATATGTTTAAAGAAACGTGGGAAGAAGAAAGAGCGAAAGAAGCACACCGCTGACTAACTTTCCCCTGGCCCACCACGTACAGCGGCAATGTCCCCCCCCCGCTCACCCCCTCACCCCCTCAGCGCCTCACCCCCGACGGTTTTGAATTGCTTTCAAGGCCCTTGCATGCCACTCTGCAGCTAAATCGTTCATTAAACCGGAATATACCACCACGTTTATTTACTCACTAAAATATCGTTTTTAAAAAACTCGAATGTTTTAGTTTTTAAAAATGTCTACAATCAAAAGACCCTAAAGTAAGTGGCTTAAAGTACACGTTGCAAGCACAGGCTGCGTTATCTTTATGCCTTTCAAGCATCGGCAGGGGTAAAGAACAAAACACAAAAAATCACTCCACGAACAAAACTGAAAATCTGTTTTATGAACTTACAGAGACTAAAGAGTAAATATGTCCTGGGACTGAGAAGTTGTAAAACAGAAAGACAAATTCTTAAATTACAATCAATCCAGGCAGATTATTAACACAATGTTTTTTTCCTGTCGTGCCTGAGCTTTAAGTATATCTTCTTATCTGATACATATGAAATATATCGTGGTACTTTCTGGATATCAGCAGAGCAGCATTTTTCTTCAACGTGAAAAGTAGACTCTTGCATTTAAAAAACCTAACTGTAATTCAAGAAACATTTCTCTCTCCCCTTTGGGGCCCCCCTCCATCCCCAATCGCAAAAGTAAACACTTGGGGGTGGGGGGCAAGGGTCTGAGGCCGGAAGAGGCTTTGTGAACACTGACCCTGTCCTGATACATCTCAGTATCTGACGTCCAGTTGAGGTCACTCTCGAAACTGCTCTTTACAATTGGCCCAACGTTCTGCGCTGAGTGCAAAAATGACTGAGCGTGTAAGTTTTCGGCAAAAGCACGGTGTTAATAGTGAAAGGCCTTCCCCAGCTAACCTTTGAGAACCATTTTATTTATTTCCTGGGTTGGCGCTTTTTAAAAACAACCCCACATTAAAAATTTCCACCAAACAGGATTGTTTTTATTTTGAAAGCGTAATTTTACGTGTTCGAATATATTAGTATTGTGCCTATTTGAACACAGATATGTCTTATCAAGGGATCAACACGTGAATTTTGTGAGTCTGTGAAGGATGATTGGCTTTTTGATGTAATTAGCTGGCTCTTAGGAGTAAACATCCTTTAGGAGTAGAAAATGTTTCTGACACATGGCTCAGGAAATGCTGCATTACAGTCTCCAGTAAAAACAGCAGAGGAAGAAGACGAGTGTGAAACTAGTAGAGTTCGTTTCACAGAAGATTAAAAAATAAAAATAAAAAAGATCTTAAAAATCCCAATCAAAGCATCGGATTTTGTGAGAAAATATTTAAGAAAAAGATGCTATGTGTTGCAGCCCTTTATACATTTATCAAAACACACATGGTTAGAGTTTAAGATGACTCCACTCAGCTGAACTGCCTTCAGTAAATTTCAAGACTGTTCATAGAATAATCGAGGCTTTTTCTCCCCTCAAAGTGTTTTGATTATAAGAGTGCAATAAGCATTGGGACAAGTGGAATAAAACCAACTCTTTCTTTCTATACTATGAAGATTTTGAATAGTACTTGTCAATAAAGCAACTCCTATTGTCATTGAGGGGAGCCTTGCCTCCGCCCTGGAAGGACTGTCTCAGAGACACTAACCTCATTAAAATATGAATGGAAAGGCCGCCATCATTGTATCGGAGAAACCCCAGTCCCCGGCAGTGTCTTATCAGCCGTTACTTTTACACATGGACTCATTTCGTATAAGTTATAAATATAAAAAGGATCTGTTACAATTTCCCTGCTATGTTGGAACACCCTGATCAGAGGAAATCCTAACTTTCCCCATTTTGAAACCTACCTACAACTCCACATCATATTTAGTGTATGTAGTGTCTATTATTTCTTTTCCCGTTAGGCGTCTTCTGACCATGTGCTTGTTATGTGAGCAATGAAACGGGGGTGGGAGGAAGGACTCATGCCCCAACTTTAAAGCAGAAAAAAGTAGTTGAAGGTTTTGGCTTTGGTTTCTCTAGGAAACTAGAGTTAGGGATTTATTCCAGACCACTCTGACAACACTTTAATAACAGTCAATTACAGGGCGCTTCCCATGTTCGTTCATTACTGTGTCTCTGTTAATCGTGTAGCAAATTTCTTGCTTGACAGCCATCAGAATCAGGCAGGAATACAATTATGTTCCAGTGTGCAGTTGGACCTGGAAACTGTTGCTGGGGTCTATCTTTTTCATAACAGTCTGGCAATCTCAGATAAATCTCACTTATCTTTATTGTTACTTTAGAGTGTCCTTCTGATATGAAACCAGTGCTTTACTTAGTGACTGATAATTTCACGTTGTTGCAGAGATTTTCCTTCTAGAGGTTTAGCTAATGGAGAAATTTTAATTGCATTGTAGCAAATATTGCATCTAGTTTAATCATTAACTTTTATCCATAAAAATACTGAAATCACTTCTGATATTAGTTAAAAGTCAATATTTAGAAGTGAAAATTCAGACCTCCTTTGCTCTAGGCTACAGCAGAGGAAGTATGAATTCAGCAACTCTTGTAAGTTGATGAGATACATAATTAGCTTTTATGTTAATTGACTGATATGAGTTTGTTGTATGACACTTCTTCATATAATATGCAAATAGCATTGACTGTTTAGTTTTATTAGACAATATAATTAGAAATCTACAGGAGCTCTTTTTGATGAGGAATAATAAAGGTTGATAAATTTCTGTATATCAGGAAAAATGAATTTCATCTAGATTGATCAATAAGATTTTAAGTAGCCTTGGTTTAGAGAGCCAAAGCCAGCCAACATATAACAGAATTAATATTAGTTTTTCCAGTTACTATAAATTTGACATTAAAACAGGTAAATTTGTGAAATCAACAAAACTTTGGGGACAAAAATACAAAGATTTCAGCACAATTTACCACAATGACACGGTAAATTTATGAAAATAACATCAAAATTTTACCTCCTTTAATTTGAATAATAGAAAAAAGTCATTTTTATCATTTAAAATATTTTGCAATTGTTTCCTGTTCTTATTCATGGACAATTATGTCGATAACAAAGTATATGCTCAGGTTGTGAGAAAAATAGAAATAATAAAACCAGAACAATGTGATTTGTGTGAGAAATTTTCCCAGAATTTAAAACTATTAAAGTTTCTATCACATTTTTCATTCTGGAGCCTATTTTCAACTTCACAGTGACAAAACAGCATTAGAGAAAAGTTGCATAATGGGTCGCCATTAATGAACTCCAAATGGGGGTCATCTAACTCAATTTGACTTTTTCTGAAAGTTAAAGAAACATACTTTACTTTCGTTTTTAAAAACTAAATTGGCCTGGTCGTTTTGCTTCCCATTTTAAAAAGTATCCTGCTGGCCTTCAAAAAAACTTTAATTTTCAAACATTTTAAGTACAATGAAAAGAAATGTAACTACCCATGTGAACAATGTTACAATTTTTCAACCTTTGTTAAAATTCACTCCAAGCCACGACTTCGTGCCCCCTTCCTCTGTGTGTTTCCGAGCCTTGCCCTCCGCTGGCATACCCTGAAAGCACTGTGCAGATTAAGAAAAAATGTACTAGGAAAAGTGAGAGTGCTTAAAAGGGCAGAGGCAACCCTGGGGAACCACTAACAGAGCACAAGGTGAGTGTGTCTGTTCATACAACAAACATTTATCACACTCCATCAGCACGTCAGCCCAGCACACCTCCCTG